GTGTGTGTGTGTGTGTGCGTGCACGCAGTTTGTTCACGCTGCAGCTACTATATTTTTCCCTGTGTGCCTGATGTTTGTACGTACACACACACACACACACACACACACACACAAAAAAAAAAAAAAAAAAAAAAAAAAAGAAAAAAGAAAGAAAAGCTAGTGATTTGTTTTCCTTTCCTTTACATACATCCTTGTGCAAATAATTGAAACAACCGCTTTAGTTTACTTTCTTTCAATATACGGTCAGTTTTAGACCCACTGGTGGTTACAGAGGTTAATCGATTTCTATTTTTTCCTCAGATTAGGTTATTTGCACTGGTGTAAAGTAATATGAATCCATTTTCGGGGTATGTGATGAAATTTGTTTGGCCTTGAAACATATTGGTTCATCATTGATTGCATCAGATTTTCATCACGCCTAGACACTTCTTTCTCGACTGTCGATTAGTTGTCCTACGGCCATTGTTCGCGATAGACGCTACTCCAAGAAAGCGTACGAAAATTGTAACGCTGCACCAACACATTGGCAAGCATTATCAGTGATTTACGACTGTCCCGGAAACTCTCCTGATTTAAATCCAATCCAGAATCTGTGCTCAATCTGCAAGGAGAGACTTAGGGGAATGGACATACGAAGTACTAATGTCTGCAGTGGGTCATGTTTCATTGGAAAAATACGAATATAAAGTAAATAATAACAGAATTATTTGGTTAGTTTCAATTAAATTGCACAAGGGTGTATGTGTACACATTAACATATTTTCTCACCTTTTTAAACAATTTATTTTTTTTATCAAAATACATTTGAATAAATTCCTGTTGAAATGTATTCCTTCTACTCATTCAACATTTATTCCATCTTATTTTTCCCTTAGAAAATGATGACAACTGGAAATCTGTCAGGATAGTGATTTTTCAACATCCCCGTGATAAATAAACATATTAAATGAATCTCGTGTGCATGCGTAATTCAAAGGCATTTGTTATTGGATAGAACGAGAATAAGGAAATATTTTGTATAAATTTCTGGTGTTTGTGTGTCATTGTGCGATTGTTGCTAGTCGCATCCGAGTGCAAGAATCCAATGTCTGAGAGTTAAAATATAACTTACTGTCGGGTGATTCGAAGTCTGGAAATCATCCAAACATTTCGATTACTTTTCTTACCTCTCGAGGCGTTCATTTTCTTTCTTCTTTTTTTTTTTTTCGATCTCTTATCTCCTGTTCTTTCCTCGGTGACAATGGCAACTAAACATCCACTACAAACCCGTAACTCGACTATCCACGTATATCGCCGAACGCGCTGGCATTAATATTATTTCTTCTACCATTCTAGAAATCAAAGTAGACTACTGAATGATTTTCCAATGATTTAAATTCCAACTGCTATACTGTCTTTCTTTCTTTCTTTCTTTCTTTCTTTCTTTCTTTCTTTATTTATTTATTTCTCTGACGGGCTTCTTCATCTGGAATAGTCTGGTGACAAAGCAATCGAATCAGCTGGTGTATTGAGCGTGCGAATATTTATTCAGATCTCGTGCCTTAATGGCAGGTGGTAGAACGCCGAGGATGAGGCGGTCTCCATCTTCCCCCAATTCATTATTTACGCTTATACAACACGTTTCAGTAAACACAGCACATTAATAGAAAGTCCACTCCCGCCGTGCTTCGACTCGGTGTTCCTCCGTCTATTCAGTTCACATCTGTAGTTCTTTCAAATGGAAACCTTCTGTTAAGAGGCTTCTGATTCCAAATCCCAAAGTGATAGTATGCTGCGTCTTTTTTTGTATGTCTCTGGGAAGAAATATTTTAATACCACAGCTCTTGACTTAACACGTCTATTGATCACATCCCGAATATAAGTATTTGTTAAGACATTATGTTAATCAAAAAATGACTTATGTCTAAGGAAAATATTTATGTGACATCGTCACTGTTGAAAGTTGCTAACTGTATAATTTCAATGAATATAAAAATTGAAGTGAGATTGATCCTCACTATGTGTTTCGGGTTAGCCGCTTCTTTGAGATTGACCGAAGCACAGTAAATATCAGTTTAGTTGATTTCACGTGAAACAATGTTCATTGCGGTGGTAAAGAAAAGTTTGCTATTTGTTTTTATACATTTTGTCTTACGGATATATTTCATTTGTATGTTATATTTTTACATACACACACATATGAATATAAATATGAACATAAAATATCGCACATTGAGAACTGTAACAAATATAATAGTGTTCGATGTATAAAAGGAGAGCAAAACTTTATATTAATATAAATATGCATACTTTCCTCACCGGTAATACAAATCTGTATTTTATGTACTATACAATCGACAGGTGCCGATTGAAAAGTTAGCTTTGTCTGTATAATTTAAATATTGATAACTAAATATATAAATTTAAATATTTATATTTCCATTTAATTACAGTGGGGAATACAATAAAATTATATATATATATATATATATATATATATATATATATATATATATATATATATATATATATATATATTATTTTATTGTATTCAAATTATTATATATTGATAATATATATATATTATTTTATTGTATTAAAATTATTATATATTGATAATATATATATATATATTATTTTATTGTATTCAAATTATTATATATTGATAATATATATATATATTATTTTATTGTATTCAAATTATTATATATTGATAATATATATATATATTATTTTATTGTATTCAAATTATTATATATTGATAATATATATATATATATATATATTATTTTATTGTATTCAAATTATTATATATTGATAATATATATATATATTATTTTATTGTATAGATAGATAGATAGATAGATAGATAGATAGATAGATAGATAGATAGATAAAAAATAATTTTAAGGTAACATATATTTATGGCTGAAAGTTATCAATACCAGTGACAGAGTGGACATTGAAGTCATCACCCAGAGGCGAGAGTGTGTTTCATGCTAAACACACTCATTAAGCCATGGCGCTAATTACATATTATTATAACTTCATATTGTAAGGTTAATTTTGACACACACTCGTACTTGGTATAACGTATTTTCTATACGTAATTCTCAGGCTATTGTCGTAACGCCTGCATAACTAGTATGAAGACTGAATCCAATATGACTTATCTGCACAGTCCACGCACTGAGATTTGTTGCGATACAAGGTCGATGTTATTGTAGGGAAGCCGAGCCTTTCCAAGCAGTTCATTGGTCAAAATTGACCCCGAACCCCGCAAAGGCTCCGGTATATGTATGTTTTTCACAGCTGGGCCTCTATCCGAAAACAGAATCATGACTAAGTCACCCTCTTTTCAAAGACTTGTCGCGAGCCTGGGACAGGAAATGTGTCCAATGAAGCATGTTATATATCTCTCGAAATATTAGTATTTTTTACTCGCATCCAATTACAAATCTTCAATTATGTCTCTTTTATTCACCCATATTTGTGTACTGCAATGTCTAAAATAGAAATCGATAGATTTCATTTAAAGTCTTACAACCTAATTTCAATCAATCGTTTTCTTCTGATAAATCAAACTCACCAGGAGCCACGTTACAGCCACTGTGTTAATTAGCAATCCAAGTTCAAAACATTATCAAAATCTTTAAAAAAGTTAAATGCATTAAAATAGTTTATTTTAAAATGTTTTTATTATACTAACCAAATTACAATTTTTGCACAGCAGTTAAATCGAAATCTTCAATCAGGTTTGCGAAATCTAAAACTAGATAAGCATTAAGGCCTTCTCTTATAAGAAAATATTAGATCAATTGTATAAAATCGATTTCTATCGACTAGTTTCTCCCTGTCAATGTAACTATTTCTTTTTATCACTCTCTCTCATGCAGTCTTTCACACAATCTCTCTCACTATCTATCTCTCTCACTATCTATCTATCTATCTATCTATCTATCTATCTATCTATCTCTCTCTCTCTCTATATATATATATATCTCCACACACGCACACACACACACATATATATATATATATATATATATATATATATATATATATATATATATATATATATATATAAAATGAACGTTGATGTCAACACTTAGAGGCGAGAGTCTGTTTCATGCTAGACGCAATCATCAGGCCACGTCTAACATGAAACAGACTGTCGCCTCGAAGTGTTGACTTCAATGTTGACTTTACATACTTTGATGTTGAGTCCTTTATCCCATAAATATAGCACACCTATATATATATATATATATATATATATATATATATATATATATATATATATATATATATTACAACGACAGTCAGAACTATAGTTTCTGAAAAATTAAATCTAAAGCAATTTCATATGAGTAAATCCGACCTAGAATGGAAAGAGTAGGTAAACTAAAATGTGTAAGAAAGAAAGAGAAAGAAAGAAGTTAGGAAAATGAAAACAAAATGAAAGAAGACTTGAAAGACCCATTATTTTAAATCGGTAATTATAAGAATATATTTTAAATATTTGATATTTGCTTTTTAGCTGATACCTAAGTATAGTGAATGAATGAAAACAAATGAAAAGAAAAACAAAGAATGCTTTCTCAAAAGGACTTCATCAGAATAAAATGATGTCCTTATTTACGGTAATATATCTCTGTAGGGAAGCGAGCAAAAATATAATAAAACGTAGATTATAATAATAATTATTCATCGAGCGAAACTCTAGGAAGGTTCGAGAAATATCCGATCAACTTTGGCGCAATTCTTAATATATAAAAAAAACAAAATGCTACGTATGTTTACTAAAAAATGAAACAGACGACTAAATTTTTTGACCAATTGGGTGTACAAAAAAAATACGCGGTCATTTCATAAGAAAATTCTGGAGCTAACACTAATGTGCGTGAGACCATCAGAACAATATGAAAATGAAAATATTGTCAAACTACCTCAGAACAGTTTACTTGGCCGACAAGTTGAATATACCTGTATCTCAACGCAGACCGCCCCTTTGAACGTTG